ACTCTTGTCTGCTGAAACTAGGGGTGAATGTTTCAAGTAGGCACAATGTCCTTCTTGCAAAGGCAAAGCTTTTGCAGTGTGATAAGCTTTCCCCATGTTTTAGTGATATAAGCAATCAGGAAATGGCATTGGCAACCCAGGAACATTGGAAAGAGATGCTTTCACGAGGAGGCCCTTACCCAAGAGCAAGTCCTATGGAGCAGAGAGGGCTTTCCTTCCGAGGAGACGCGCATGGGACGAAGGCAGAGGGCAAAGTCTGCTCACTTGTGCAAAGTTCCAGAGACGAAAGGATTCCTGCAGCAAATACAAAACCATTGTTGGTGGCAATCCTACACAAGGCTCTGTCGTTGGCCTTCACGTATTGCAAACTTCTCAAGCAGGAGGGACTTCTAGAGGTCATCTAGCCCACCCTGAGGCCAAGGGAGAATGGGGCCTTCTTGGAGCTCTCTGGGGGACATCTAGTCCAACCCCTTGCCATGCAGGAAATGCACAAGCTGAGCTATGTCTGTATTATTATTATTATTATTGTTGTTATTATTATTATTATTATTTGAAACACAACAAGATGAGTCCACAGCAGACACTCTGCTGGCTGTAATAATAATAATAATAATAATTATTATTATTATTATTATTATTATTATTATTATTGGGTTGTTGTAGATTTTTCTGGGTTATATGGCCATGTTCCAGAGGCATTTTCTCCTGACGTTTCACCTGCATCTATGGCAAGCATCCTCAGAGATTGTGAGGTCTGTTGGAAGTAGGAAAAAGGGGTTTATATATCTGTGGAATGACCAGGGTGGGACAAAGGACTCTTGTCTGCTGGAGCTGGGTGTGAATGTTTCAACTGGGTTGTTATAGGTTTTTCCGGGTTATATGGCCATGTTCTAGAGGCATTTTCTCCTGACGTTTTGCCTACATCTATGGCAAGCATCCTCAGAGGTTGTGAGGTCTGTTGGAACTAGGAAAAAGGGTTTACATATCTGTGGAATGACCAGGGTGGGACAAAGGACTCTTGTCTGCTGGAGCTAAGTGTGAATGTTTCAACTGACCACCTTGATTAGCATTTGATGGCCTGGCAGTGCTTGGGGCAATCTTTTGTTGAGAGGTGATTAGATGTCCCTGATTGTCCCAACAGACCTCACAATCTCATTAGCATTTGATGGCCTGGCAGTGCTTGGGGCAATCTTTTGTTGAGAGGTGATTAGATGTCCCAGATTGTCCCAACAGACCTCACTACCTCTGAGGATGCTAGCCATAGATGCAGGTGAAACGTCAGGAGAGAATGCCTCTAGAACATGGCCATATAACCCGGAAAAACCTACAACCCATTATTATTATTATTATTATTATTATTATTATTATTATTATTATTTTAATATTATTATTATTATTATTATATCTCACTTTAACTCTCCTGCAAGAGAATTCAAAAGCGGCTTAACATATAAGCATTAGCATACCATTTAAAATATTCAAATACGCAAACATTAAAACAGGATGAACTATAAACAGTGTTTTAAAAAATTCACAATTAAAAGTAGCCATAGGTCTCTGAAGCAGGAGGGGCTCCCAGAGGTCATCTAGTCCATCCTGATGCCAAGGAAGAATGGGGCCTTTTTGGAGCTCTCTGGGGGACGTCTAGTCCAACCCCTTGCCATGCTCTCGTATAGAGCACATACATCTGAGCACATAGAATGACATGTATTTCAGAAATAGAATTATCTGAGCAAGCCTTCCCTGCTTAAGCCAATCAGGCTTTAGGAAAGGTTCCCCAGAGGTCATCTAGCCCACCCTGATGCCAGAGGAGAATGGGGCCTTTTTTGGAGTCCTGGGAGTTGCAGTTTGGTGAGATACGGTGAGTCTCCTCATGGAGAGAGAAAACAAAGCGTGCATAAACATAATACTAATATGCGCTTCTCATGTTGTTGTTATTGTTTATTGCTTATGACTTCAATCAAAGTTGAACCTATTGTAGGAATTCCTTGGTAAAATTCATCCAGAAGAGGTTTGCCCTTTGCCAGCAGCGCCCGTACCTTGGGAAGTCTGGCTTGGCCACAGTGGTCCACACTCTCGTTCCATCTCGTATAGACTACTGCAACGCTCTCTACGTGGGGCTGCCTTTGAAGACTGTTCGGAAGCTTCAATTGGTCCAACAGGCAGCAGCCAGATTCTTAATAGGAGTGGCACTCACGGAGCGCACAACTCCTCTGTTGCGCCAGCTCCACTGGTTGCCAGTTTGTTACTGGGCACAATTCAAAGTGCTGGCCTTAGGCTTTAAGGCCCTAAATGGTTCTAGCCCAGTTTACCTGTCCGGACGCATCTCTTCCTATGAACCATCTGGAGAGGCCCTGCTCTCGGTCCCACCTTCTTCGCAGATCTGATTGGCGGGAATGAGAGACAGGGCCTTTTCAGCGGTGGCCCCCCGGCTATGGGACACCCTCCTTCTGAGACTGAAGAGAGTGACCAGCAACAAGGTCAAGCCAGGAGTTTGCAATACCTAGATAATGATGATTATGGCAGAGGAGCAGGGCTTGGAGGGGTGGAAGTATTTCCTTCCAACCAACCCATTGCTGGACATTGTTGGACTAGATGACCTTTAGGTGACCCACACCCTAACCTTGGGAAGGTCAAGGTGGGTTCTCAATTATTATGATTGTGATTATGACTGGGAAGCAAGGCTTGGGGGGATGAATACATTTCCTTACAACCAACCCATTTCCGGACATTGAGAGGCTGGACTAGATGACCTTTAGGTTCCCCACACCCTGACCTTGAGGAAGGTCAGGGTGGGTTCTCAATGATCAGGGTTATGGTTATGGCTGGGAA